ACAACCAAGACACCACTGGATAGATACTCCTGCTGCGACTATGGCGACTATACGGGGGACCCTACAGCGGCGATAGATATCGTTGTAGATCCCACGAAAGAAAGGAAATACCCCACAAGGACAATACGTACAGTGACGACAGAATAGATCTTGGGAACGCGGACCAGTGATGGTCACAAAAAGTTGACTATGATGCACTGCTATTATTATCATTAGCAACTATATTAAGCACATACACAGATGCACTGAAATTGCTACTACAACTAGTATACAAATCCTTAGTATCAGCACAAACAGTATGATGAGTATGAGTTGCCCTCTCACCGACTATTCTTACGTGGTGAGATACGGAATAAATTCGTTTTACGGACACCAAGAAGAGGATAAAAAGGGGAAAGTCGACCAAGCCTTGGTACGACAATCGTCAATACTACTGCCATCACTCCCGCCAGAACAACCACGACCACTAGATGCGCTATACTTCTCATCAACGAGTTATACCACTTATAATGAGCGATATTTCGACCGATCTGAACAGCCGCTTTAGATGACTCAATGGGAAGTCGCCGATGATTCTGATCTCGTTGGTAGAATAATTCTCTGCTCGTCCATGAGCTGCTCCCACTTTCCATCACCAATGGCACTTCAGTTAACAGCAACGGTTGCACTTCAGTTGCATTACTATCATCACTACTACTCTCAGCATATACTCGGCAAGTCCCCCGTCCATCATCATCATCCTGTGTCGGGACCCACCCAATAGCCCTTACCACCTTCTCCTGAGGGAACCTGCCCAACTCCTTACACTGGGATAGGGTCAATCTAGTCCTAGTCAATAGCACATCAGATAAGGTAACAGGTAACCGCTCCAGAGTGGATTTATTATCAACTAATAACCACTCCTCGTCATCATCGTTATTATTATTCTCATCTGCAGGACGATGAGTAGTACACTCAAGTTGGTCATAAAGATTCCCATCACTACCACGACATACCATCATACCAGAACTGAACACAACGATAATCAATCCACCCAGGTTCGATCCCTGCACCCGTCATTATTACTCCTTACTCCCCATAAAGGGAACGTTACTCGTTATTCCATCGTTGTCAGGGTTACTCCATGTAAAAGTGATACCGCACACACCCAAACGTGTATCCGAATGGTCATCAAGGAGAGTTTCCTCACCAAAGGCCATCAATGGACTCAGGTAATATCTAAAATATCTTAGGTTCACCATACAAAGATTCAAAACAGGTCCAATACTAGCCCATTTTACCGATGCTGAAGTACTCCCATAACAATGGGAGGATACGCACTTCTATCACCAAGTAAAATGTCGGATGGTACCGTCTGACACAATATTCATCAAATTTCCTCATCACTCAATAGCCACCTCTTCCTCCCCATTTTCCGGCGTCCAACACGAATCCCCAAAAATCTCATATCGTCGTTCTCGCCATCGTTGGAAATACTCCGGCACGTAATGGTCGATCACAGGCTCTCTAAAACAGCATATAATTTCGTGGCGCGCGGTAAAATGTATCATAGTACGGTATGCTAGGTCCGGACCAACACTCAGCTCCACACCCGCATTCCGGCTCGGCGTAGCTGACCGGCATCTCGATCTGTTCATGGCTGACAAGACGCTGGATGGACTTTGATGATAATGTTGATGTTGTTGGTATTACTCCAATGCCATAAGCCATGCTCCTACACCAACATCTTCATGCGTCCATGACTTTAATTGTAATGGTGGATGGGCTAGGTACTTGGCAAGTTGATATGATATAACATAACCACCTCCTATAACGATTACTATTACCATCATTACCATCATATTACTACTACCATTACCCTGAGCATTCCATGGATACTGAGTAAGGCCGGTCATTTGAGTAAACTTAGCATCAAACCTGAACTTATCTATTATTACTACACCAACTACTACCACTATCATTACCATTTATGATCCTTATTCTCCGGCTCCCACATCACTGGTGCGTGCCGGAAGGATCCTGCATATACCCTTTCCTTATTCCACATATCATGCTGATCTATAAAGTCAAGTAGCCTATCCACGTGCACAAAGCTGTCGGTATCCGCTTTGAGGAGCAGTCGGAACCTTATCAACCAATAATAACATATCTTCATACCACACCTTCGTCACTTCCACTACGATCGTCGTAGAACAATAAGGATTCACAGAGCATTCCGGAGGAGTCACATGACGTTAATTATAAAGACAAAATTCGGACATTTTTGAGCTAGTCAGAAGACGTAGGTGGTAACCACTGTAGAACGAGGGGAGGACAGCATATTGAGATTGGTGAGTGAACACTTAATTATTGTTTCCACTTATACTACTTTCCAAGTTGGTCCACGGCCCTTTGGAAAGATAACCGCACTTTGGTACCGAGGGCATCATACCGATCCTCGAACCACTCGGGGAGCTGTAGAATGTCGCCTGAGTGGAACAACGATGATGATTTGGCAGAGGAGTGGTATGCTGGTTGTTGTTGTTGTTGATTATTATTATTATTACCGAATTGCTTCATTTCGGCCATCGCTGTATCCCTGGTATAATTATCAGGATAATGTGCTCCAACAGTAAATAGTAATTTAATACTTCGTAGACCACCACGGTTATTCTAATATTAATAATATCCAATTACTACTACTACTACTACTACTACTACTACTACTACTACTACTACTACTACTACTACTACTACTACTACTACTACTACTACCTGTTCATGACCCCTCAATTGACGTGCCCATCCATCTCTTACTGCACATCTCCTCGAGAACTCTGTTATATGACTCGGTATTACTATTACCAAATCCCAGCAATCATTCGATGGTCCTTCAAGAGTAGCCTTCTTCTCTAATGATCCCTTCACCTCAGCAGCAGCAACAGGACCAATACTAAGATTGGTTATTAATAATAATAGTAATAATAGCCGAGTACGGCAGCAGACTGTACCGACTGCCATTCTAGGTAGCAAAGAAACTACCAACATCAACAACATCATCATCATACTCCAATACTACCCCAACATCTCCATCACCCAGCATAATTAATGGAAGCGACATCAAGCCAGTATTAGTTGCCGAGACACCAAAGTATAATCGTCGGAGCTTGCGCTAGTCATTCCAGAACTTGAGCGTTTTAACGCGCGCGAAAACGCTACGACCACACCCCTCAACGTTTTGCATTCATGCGTGAAAGCAATGGGAGGTAGACAAATACGATCAGCGACCGCTTTACCGCTGAATGACGATGAGGTACCCTAAGATGAGGTGTCTCAGCTCATCACTCTTGGCAGATGAAAGAACTCTTCGATCAAGCTGATTTGAATGGTGATGGTGCCCTCACTGACAGGGAATGCAATGGCTTCTGTGATGCTATTAGAATGTACTGACATACCTTGGGTGATCGAATCAAGTGTTGGGATATATGCTCACCCTTTTCGGCTGAACTCAATCGTTATAAAAGTTTATGCATGAATTCGGGTAAAAGTGTACAGAAACCAACAAGTATTTCCCCGCAATCTTCATACTATCACCAGCACATGTGGTTGATCATGTAACTCCGGAATTTCTTGGTCCACCAGAGATACGTGATACATCACTCCCCACTTCTTCAGTACTCAAGTCATTACCGTTAATAGATGCCATAATCAACAGGTAGAGTGCTCAGCCTGTTGATTGAAGTGGGGATTGATGTATCTCGTATCTCTGGTGGAACAAGAAGATCCGGAGTTACAGATCATGTACATACTCCGCACATTGATTGAATCGATGATGAATTTGCATAATAAACAGCTATAGGATGAATCGCAATGTTCCTGATCTCATCGGGCTTGGTCAGGTTCCACGGTTTGCGTAGTCCTCTCTCGGAGGAGTTCTATGCGATAGTATTGGACGAACTGGATCCAGAGGAGACGGGACGGATATACTTAGATGATCTGAAGGAGCTCTACCAGGCTGTATGGGATGAGAGGCGGACAGGCGTGCTGAATCCGGATGCACCAATGCCGACTATTGGTGATGAGGAAGAGGCTGCGGGGAGACGGGCCTTGGAGGCTCTAACTGCCGAGCTCCCTCCTCCTACACCTATCACACACAGGCATGGTGTGGAGGGGAGTAGTAGGAAAAGCAGTGGGGAAATGGGGAATGAGGAAGAGAGAGAAGATGGTGAGGGAGAACTGGGGGTAGAAAAAGAGAAGGAAACGGTGGTAGAGGCGGATGAAGAAATGGTGGCTGAGGAGGAAGAGAAGGAAATGGTGGCTGAGGAAGAGAATGGAACGGTGGTAGAGGAGGGAGAGAAGGAAATGGTGGTCGAGGAGGAGAAAGAGGCAGTAATGGTAGTGAACAATGGCGATGAGTTGGGGTATGAAGGGATGAGAGGAGGACAAGCTATGGGAGAGGAGGAGGGGGGTGAAAGGAAGTTGGAAGCGGAGGAGGAGGGCATGACTGTAGTGGCTAGGGAGGAAGAGGTAACTGTTGAGGAGCAGGGAGAGATGGTAGTAATGGATGGGGAGGTGCCGGTGTTGGAAGGGTTAGAGGAAGGTCGGCAGCAGGAGGAGGTCGCTCTTCCACAAGCAGATGCTGGATCAGCATCTGCCGAGGAGGAGGCTAGTCCCATTGATGGGGATGAAATCATACAAGATGATTCATGCAAGAGCGAGTACTCCTACCTTAGTCCACGAGAGTACTATCATTGTCGTCCGTCAGGAGCACGCCAATCGTCGGGTCAGCACCTTGTGATAAACCATTCAAGATAATCGGAAACGTGCCAACATCATTCTTCACTTCACCGTACAATACCCATCCATGGATCTTCGGAAATGTAATACTCAATTGGTGAGTTCGTATGACGTTATTCTTGTCAGTACGAGCAGCCACTACCGCCACCAGCGTATACGTCGTATCAACTTATCTGGCAGATAAAACAAACTCAACCTAAGTGTGTATCGTCCAAACCTTAACGAGTACAACCTACCTCACCTTGTGATGTCACCATGAATATCCTTCTGCGTGCGATCTCGGCTATGTGTCGTGTTGTTATTCACTGGGATGGTGACGGTCGCTGTGAAGTTTGAACTAGCAGCTTACGGCAGGCACTTCCTCCGCGCACTGAAATCGTCTATCATGTGACATGAGCCTTGTCTTAGGCATTCAAAGGTAGGGGGCGGCCTCTGATGGAGGAAGCTAAAGGTTTTGAACGATGGTACCTGACGGTTTCCCATTGATGGTATCTTACGGTTTTAATGATGGTATCTTACGGTTTTCAATGATGGTATCTCACGGTTTTTGATGATGGTATTTTATTGTTTTTAATGATGGTATCTTATCGCTTCTAATGATGGTATCTTACGATTTGTTATGGTGTCTTAGGATAGTAGAAGTGATGTCGTTCAACTGTTAGGAGTTGATCTTCCCTACTCTAACTTACAATATCCAGTACTGCTTAGACTCGTGTAGACACGTAGTTGTGTCGATCTATTCTACCGTACGCAAGCTTACCCTCCTCTCAAGTGCAATCTGTGGCTTTTCGTGGTCCATAAGTTCCGTCTTCGTATAGCCAACCGGACAATAGGTACCCGCATGAACCTTCCCGGCCCTCTCCTCCCGTGTGATATAAGGCTCGGTACCTAATGTTTGGCAGGGCATTATGAAGGTATTCGCGCAGTCGGGTTTCACTCAGTTCAACCTCGACATTCTCGTCGTGCTGCGTTACTGTGACGTTAGTCTGAGTTGTCGGAAAAGCAATGGTTGAGGTATCGCTCTGCTGGAGCTCGATTCAGACTAGTGAAGTTGCATCGACTACTATCGCTCACTAGCCCTGTTGTGAAAGTATGCGGACCGACGGCTATTTTCGGGGTATGCCTCGTGATCATCCTATTATTGGTCGACTCAGAAATGGATATCTAGAAGTTCTTGCAAGCGGAACCGGATATCATCAACACTCCGTGATGCGGATTCTTTCTGAGTTTCAGTTTCTTGCGTCTTGCGATTCAGGTCGTCTCATCCCAGCGCTCACAACAGCCATGATAGCTTCCGTATCCAATCCGTGCTTCCTTCTATGTAGTTTCGGAATCCAGTACGCATGCCAGTTTTCACGTTCAGTCATGTCGGATTCGCATCGCTCGGTACACGGAACGACGTGGATACACAATGAGACATACTCGAACCAAGATCGGTATAGCGTGCTCACTAGCTCATCGGAGACCTTTGACGGCTCCCTCGTGTGGTTGGTGTTCCCGCAAAAGTTCATATCGCAGGACTTATCTCGATGTGATATAGGTAAACGCTCAATCATCGCTGATAGGTGCTTACAACCTGCTACCATCAACTCCGCTGATTGTACCAGTCATCATCTTATCAACATCGAAGTTCCTGAGAGCCTTCGAACCGTTTGCGTTGAGCAGCTTGTTGATCTCTCCTAAGCATCGACTCTAGAGCTTGTCTTGCCTACCCTGTTTATGCCGTCGTCGTCTCATAGGAGACGGAGAGGGCAGCCATCAGTAACCACAGCGGATAGCGATCAAACAGCGAGCACGCCGAAGGTATAATCATTCTGTTGCTCTGTCAATAACATGCTTTTTCAAGGTTCGATCATCTACAATGTATTTCAAGGTAAGCAGTCGTATATGACCGCTCAATTTTACTATGGGACGCGTGGTCGTTGTAGACTATCGGTGTGCCTTGCCTTATCGTGGCGTTGTTGTTGGCGTGGTATACAAAAAGTTCATCGCTGAATTCGAGGAGGATCGATGATATTCTCACTGTAGAGAAGCCTCCAGTAAAGTGAGTGTGTTGGATGTGTAGTAGAGCTTAGCAACTCTGTAGGTATTACGATTACGACGTGTTAGAGGAGATGCCACATGACCCTAGATGTTTCACTCAAGGACTTGAATACGACCCCTATGATGGTGCATTGTTAGAAAGTTGCGGTTGGTAGGAGAGCAATCGTGAGAGTGAAAAGTTATGGAGATTGCGATGCAGGTATAAGGAGTCTCGTATCTTGCGTAATGGCAAGGAAATATACAAGTTTAGGGCCAGTGAGTTCGCGGAGGGGATTACCGTTGCGCAGAAAGGGAAAATTCATGCCTTGACATGGTAGGAGGGAGCAGTACGTGATAGTTGTGTTGATGATAGTGGCGTTGTTCAGGATGAATAAAAGGGCGTATATTATTGATGCTGTTAGTGGTAAAGAGTTGAAGTCAGTTGAGTATCCTCATGTTGGATGGGGCCTGGCTTATGATGCTGACAAGAAGGTATTGCTCTGATAGGAAAACAAGAGCATTGTGACTGTCCAGGTTCTCTACTCGAGTGATGGTAGCGATACTCTTTACACACTAAACGTTGAAGACTTCAAGGAGTTGTCGAGTACTACTACAATGTTCATGTCGAATTGTTTATGCGTGCGATCTCAGAGTGTAACGTAGTGGTGGATATCGGTGATGGGAAAGATCGCCCTGTTGGAAGGCTCAATGAAATGGAGTGGATTGATGGTATACTCTATGTGAATATTTTCATGTAAAATTGTGGGAATTATGGTATTGCATCAGAGCTCGCAGGTCTGTGATACCGCCCTCTTATCCATACTATATAGTGGCAATCAACCCAACGACTTGCAGAGTCACTGAAATATTGGTATTGTCACTTCTACTCCATTTCATGTATGTTTTACGGTAATCAGAACTTGCGCGGTATTCACCATCCTACTGGGGATCTCTTCAACTTCGTGATGAATGGTATTGCCAAGTCTGGGAAATCTGGAGGCGGTGACACGGGAGTCAGAGAGCTCATCGTCACCGGCAAGCGGTGGGATAAGATGTAGTAGTGCTACCGTCGCCCTCCAAATATCAAGCCTGGTATCGATGGAATGTAGCCTGTTGCCATTCGATGTGTAAGGGTGTGTGTGTGAGTTTAAAGGCCAACGCCTGCTACGACAGCACGGCTTAGTTAGACTCGATGCACATTAGCGCTCGAGGGATCAGTCGAATTGTCCAGGCCCAATGAGTTTTAAGGGTGTTGGTCAGACTAGTAGTTCCAAGATCCAATGCCTCGAGCTTTTAAGTGTTATTCTGAACCTCCTGTATATTTCAATACCAAGATTGGTGTTCGTTCGGGAGTAAATGAGAGATAGTTTGTTATGCATGAATCAACGTATATTATGAATAAAACATCCATAATGGATTCGTTATCCTACAGGTACAGAATTGCCCTCAAAGAGATCGACACGCACCGTCGTCGAC